TTATTGTTCATGGAAAACTTAGGAAATTTTAACAGCATATTTTGTACCAATAATAGTCACTCAGGTTTTGGTGGTCAACATATTTTTTATATAATAACAAAAATAAATTCTCCAGAGTTTTAAACAAGTAAATAGCAAACTACTGATGAATAAATCAAAACTCAAACCTATTTCCTAAAGGAAAGCTCACTGAAACATCAACTCAGTCTTGCTATATTGAAAAATCAACCAATCAGCTATTATGGCATGATATCACTTGGGGTTCAGGCATCACCCCAGTGTGCAGTTATGTAAGCAGAAAGATAGAGGTCAGAAGTACGAGATCTAATGGGACTGGATTGGATGATGTATTTAAATTGTAAGCTGTGAAAAATATAGGAGGGTCGATGGCTTCTAATGATATGGTTGCTAGGAAGTACTGACGGCGAATAAATGCTCCCAATAAGAAACTATTATGGTTGGTAGACCTATGAATAAATATTAGAATGTAAAATTTTAAATTAATTGACTTTAAATATTATATCTTTAATGAAATATAAATATAAGGATATTATTGAAAATTTATAAGTAATATTTTGAAGATAAGGAGTGTTTCCTGAAACGTTAGCTATGTATTTTAAATTTAAAAAATAGGAAACAGGAGGATGCTATCTATATATCGAAGCCAACGAATATATATATATATAGAAATATATATATATATATATATATATATATATATATATATATATATATATATTTTTCCTATTGGCGCTACAAGCCTTGTACATGTTTGACCGCGAGATGTGATCTTCTAGACCACATCCCGATTCCTGATTTAAGTTCTCGAGGGTAGGGTAATCAGTATTACGCCCGGCTGATGTGGGGGAGGGGGTCTTGAGCAGCGTGGTGGACAGTCACCCAAATCGGGCGGTCACCCATCCGAGTGCTAACCACGCTCGTCGTTGCGTAACTTGGTTACTTATTGCAAGAGCCTCAGCCCGCACGGCTACCCTAGCTCCTAACGTATATAAATATATATTATTTTTTTATTTAAATTTAATTTAAATTTTTAATTTAAACCTGTATATTCAGCAAATATACTACAGAAATATTGCATGAAATAAAATTCAAATATTACATAATATAGAACAGCTTAAGATATAAATTAAATTTTTTAGGGGGAGAAGATGATGTTATTGTCCGGGGGCGCCTGAACTGTCTGGATTTCTCTGGATTTCTCTGGATTTCAATATTTAGTTTTCATATTTCTTTTAAATATTCTAGAACGCTTTATCGATAAATTCTATTTTATTTTTTAAGAGAACCGTCAGGTAATTGTTGCTAGTAGATTAAATTACACTAAAATATGTCATGTTTATGCTCTAAAAACATGTCAATAATGAATTCCCATGGCTAACATTTTAGTGAGTTAATGACTTTAACTTCGTAGATCCTATATCCAGTTTATATAGGATATCTTAAATAATGGAATATATCTTTCTTTAGTTTGGTCAACTTTTCATTAAAGCCTATTAATATTTTGGCAAAACCTTTTCTTTCCATTATATTATTCCATTATAACAATAGGTACTAAAAATAATATCAATATATAGGAGATAAACGAATTCTATTGTTTAGCTAAAACAATGAGCTATTCCATTCCTTCGTTTCCAGTGCCCTAATGAAAGGCAACACCGACCAAAGACCGGATTAGTCCTCTGGTGACGTCACCCTTCCTCGAATACGGCTCAGTCGATATTACTCTCCGGAGAACCGGTGCTATTTTCGTTCAGATTTCGTAACCGGTGGCCGAATGTCGTCTGGAATCACCTTCGACTATTACTAGAGCTTCTTATACTAACGCAACAGTAGCAATAGCAACACAGACATGCAGAGGTGCCCAGAAGAAGGTTTCATGGCGTAAGTTGCGAGGGGGCACTTTTTGAGTGGGTTTTCAATTTTTGAGGAGGGCACATTTCGACGGAGTTATGAATTTTCAAAATAAAAAGTTTCAAATTAAAAGACAATTGAAACCCTGGAACAGATCCCAGGATGTGTAATTGTATATATAACTAGTAGGCCCGTGCGGAAAATTCGAACAGCATATTGTTATCAAATGCCAAATTAATAAGAAAATAAAATAATGCAACGTATCAAAAGATAAAGAAATCAAATGTCACTATATTCATAAATATAATCGACAAAGAAAACAAAAATTAATTTAAATCTTCATTTTTGTTTGGAACCAAAATGTTTACAAATTTTAGTAAGCTGTATCTATGCTAAAAATTGTCCGATTTCGATGATTTTTTTTCCTTTTGTAGGGAATTTAGTAATCTTTTATGTAATTATGGACATAACCCAGGGAAAAGTGTGTAATTTTTTTGTTATTCGCAAATAAAGTTTCTTTTCTTTCATAACTTGTTTGCCTGAATTTTCGGAGTGATTGGACTATTTTGCCCGCCTGAAGGAGAGGGAAGTCTTCGAAATTGGTGGCTCAATCTTGAGATTTGGTGAAAAATTAACGATAATATGGCCTACCGATAAAAAACACCATCCATAAATAATATAAACACCTCCTCTCTCGATCATAGAGACCTCGAGTCGACGAAATGAGACATGTATTGAATGACAGTACTGCAATTAATCTAAGGTTGTGGGGATGCGAACCCTATGCCTTGCGTTATCTCGAAAATAGTACGTTTTTGGGCTTAAAAAGGAGGAACTATCCGGGTCTTGCTGTACGCATCAAAATCTTCAAGATCCAATTTGTCCCGTATCGATCTACATACCTACCACCGTTCCAGTATCGAAGCCTAGTAATGGACTTTGTATATTGTTTGTATGGACTTTATTTATTTTAGAAAGAAAAGCAAAAGTGGAGAATACGATTCGCTAACCCACCGTGAAATTCTGAATCCAACGGTACCCCATTCATGGTATTTGAACCTCACAGGAGCTTATATTTGGTACAAAACCTATTTAGAGCCTTACTGTAATAATATATGTGTGTATCTATGAATATTTAAATTCTACTTTTGTATGCACTGTTTTTAAGAAGAAGAGAGGAATAAAATATCTTATAAAAGAGGGAAGGGTGGGAGAGCCCCTTTGGGGGATGGGAACCTCGGCCGACATGATATAACTTACATTCGTAAATTAGTTCCAGATGAACATGCTCATGAACATGCTAGGAACGTAAATATCGAACGTAATATCGTTATATCGCACCTACAGTATTTTTACTGGTGCCTAAACATAGTGACCCTAAAAAAATAATATTATATATACAAATTACAAATTTATATTATAAATTATAAACACGATAGAATGCTGAATATTTTCCTTGCTTAAAGAATCAAGGTACGATATTTTGTTTCGGAGATATTTCAATCTATATCTTCCATAAAACTCCTTATCATTTGGGTTTCGACACTATTTTTCCCTTTTCGCATCTCTGACATGGCTTCGCGTTAATATAAAATTTCGAATAATAACTCATTGTAAAGAGGATGATTTTCTCCGCTAACCAAAAAGAAGACCGATATTTAGTTTTGGGGATATTTTGATCCAAATGCAAAAATATTTTAATTAGTCGACTCCAGCAGAGCGTTACTCATCGGTAATCTGACGGCTCAATGTAATTCACTCTGCATAAAAAAAGTGCGAAACGCGTCTAAAGAAGATTTCACTTAAATAAAAAATAAAAAAGAAAATTTAATTATGATAAGAACATTAAAATAACAATTTTGTCGCTCTCGGAGTACTGTGTGGCTAGTTTTCCCTGTGCACCCACTTATTCGATCTAGAAGAAATAATCAACTTTATTCTAAATAACTAAATACTATTTTCCCTTTTCCTTGATGAATGGGAAGAATAGAAGAGGCAACACCATGAAGTTCACCGGACACAGGAAGAGTTGAAGAAGGTACCAACCAAACTTAAAAACTGAAGAGAACTTTGTAATTTTTAATTATTTTACCAACAGTAGCGTGTTGTTACACAGGCGTGGTTCCTACATCTACAAGCACCCTTATCTTCTATCAAATATGATAGGATAGAGTTGGAAATAAATGAAGCATTAATTTAATCAGGCAACTTTTTTTAACGTTCCCTCTCAAACATAGTAAATAGGTTTCTGTTACTAATAATAAATAAATAATTCTTGTAAACATTTTGTTTCATCCGTTTGATTTTTGAAGTGAAAACTTGCGAGGTGCGTTTTGGACTTTTTTCGTGGAGAGTGTATTAGATTGAGCAGTCAGATCTCCGATGTGTAACGCTCGGGTAAAGTCGGCTGGAGTCGACTGATTGAAGTCTTTCTACAAATGGATTAAAGTATTTCAAAAACTAAAAATCGGACCTGCATATTGTTAGCGATGGAAATGTTCATTGTATTGAGCTATTATTCAAAATTGAATCTTAACGCAACACCGTGTTAAAGAGCAGAAAAGTGAAAAAATGGTGTCGAAAAACAAATGATGACGAGTTTTATTGAAGATATGTATTAAAATATCTCAGAACCTCAGAACCTACATACAGTAAGCGATGGAAATGTTCAGCTATAAATTATTAATCTCGCCTTTTTGATGTTTTCACTTCTATAGTGTACCCTAAAGCATATACCTTAGTTTTTTTCTGTCAAATTCACAGGCTCTTTTTATACTTGTAAAACACACCAGTGATTTTTTTTTTTTTATTTCACAGTTATGAATAATTATTTAAACATGTTACGGGATTCATAATTGATACTACGAGCATCTGTTTTATTAAACTGAAGACTTCTGTCGTTCATACAACACAGACATTTTGTTTTATCTAGAACAGCTCCTTATTTTGCGTCACGATCCATATCTCTATTGAGTCATTATTAACTTCTTGTCTCTGTTTCAATCAATAAGAAAAAAAAAATCACTGATGTGTTTGAAGTAGAAAAGAAACGATTCACATGCCCTGTATAAATATATGGACCACACAACAATCTTTACTCTGTACTCAATTGCTAATGAGGTACTCACACCTGCGAACATGGCCAGACATGGCATGATTGGGTTGACACAGATTCCTATCATCGCCTTCGGGGCGTGCGCCAATATGGCATTGGCCATCTCCCGCATGTGGGTGCTGTTCCTGGCGAAGAGATCCGTAGTCGATTCGTGTGGAAATCCGACATTACCGCCCATCACCATAACTATGTCAGCGTTCTGCAACATAATAGATTAAACACATATATAATGACGATAGATTATAATAAAATGAAACTATATTCACAGATTAACACTACATAAGTCACAATTAAGAAAGATACTATCCGTGACAATAGTTCTAATATATGGCTACGAGACAGATTCAAGAGAAAAATCTTCCGTACGATAACCGGAGTGATCAGGAATCTAAGTTCTAACGCATGGAGGAGAAGGACTAATAAAGATCTGGTTAAGATGGACGGGGTATGTAACAATCCATCAAGAAACTTCTAGACGATAATGAAATCCTCGATAATAGCCAAAATACCAATTGGATCCAAAACTATATGGTTAGGTGCAACAAGCAGAGCAACAAGGATGCAATGGAAATGCATGAAGATAACTGGAAAGAAATAGTCCAATATAGGGAAAGGTAGAAAATACTGGTTAAGGCGGTTAAAGATCTACAAGGTCATTTAAATACCTTGACTCCACAATAACCCCAATATATGATCAAGCAACAGAGATAGGCCGTATAGGCTCATTACTAACGCTAATAAGAGAGGCAGAAAAGATCGGCCTACAAGTAAATGAAGACAAAACAAAATATATGACAATAAGACGGAAATTACATCCCAATAACAGGATCTGAGTTGAATGAAAATAATTCCCTAGATTAGAAAAATTCAAGTACCTCCACTCCACAATAACCTCAATGAATGACCAACGGGCGGAAATCGACCAGCGTGTATAACTAGTGTAAAAAGAGCTTTCCTCTCCCTTTCAAAAGTATTAAAATCACAAAAAATGTCAAGATAACTCAAATTAAGGGTGTACAATGCTACGCCAGTTCTAATTTATGGCTGTGAGACCAGTATACTCTAAACAGCACCGTAGAAAAAAAGTATTAGAGTACTAACACATGGTGAAAAAAAGACCAAAAGAGGACTGCTTACAGAAACTGGTCTATCAATATCCCATGATATGAAGTTAAGATGGGCGGGGCATGTAGCTCGTAGCAATCCATCTGGAAGCCTCTATGTAACAATGAATGCCTCAATAGAAGGAAAAAGAACACGTGGAAGGCCAAAACGCAGATGGATAATTAGAATCAACAAAGATGCAATATAGCTGCGTGCAGATAAATGGAAAGAAATGTCTCAAGACATGCAGTGATGCAGGCAAAACATCGACAAGGTCTGTTATACTAACAGAAAAAAAACTGTAACATGAATAGAGTTTACTCCTCTCTTTCAAGGATACTGAAACCAAGGAAAAATATCAAATTAAGGGAGTACAACGATGTGAAAAATCCATTTCGATTATAGATTTGTGAAATCTGGGATCTAACCGGCTCCCTTGAAAGCAGAATTCATAGATTCAAATGGAATGTTCTGTGTACGATAACCGGGGCTATTTGGATCAAAATCTTAACGCATGGAGGAGAATGGACAATAAAGAACTGCTAAAAGAAACTGGTCAGTAAATACCTCATGATGTGGAGGCAAGGAATTTAAGATGGGCGAAGTATTTAGCTCGAAGCAACCCCTCTGATCGCCTTTACACCACAATGAAAACCACTGTAGTTAGCAATACACAAGGCCAAAAACCAGATGGACAGATAGTTGATCCTACCTATCCATCTGGTTTTTGGCCTTGTGATTGCAGGATGCCGTCGAACACTGGAAAGCAGGAGCCCAAGATAAATTATGGACCAAATTATGAACACTCGTCTAAAATTTTATCATAATCTACTTTTTTATTTACTAAAATTCTCGGTAATTTTCAATCTGAAGATCGCAGAATTTTGTTAATTTATTGACTTACTAAAAACTCATGAATAATTGTTTGCTTTACACTTACTTTGAAAGATAATTTGATCACAAAATCGAGAAAACAATGTGGTCTACAAAAACATTAGCCGTTCGGTCAAATGGAATCTCGTTGATTTGAGATCTTTGGACCTCACGCCAAATGTATCACGATTCAACTAAAAACAAAATGGGTATTCACAATATTTCTCAACTTCTTCTTCGGTGCATACTATTTATTTTCAAGTTTAATTATATCAGCCAATTTTACACCAATTTTTAAAATTTTGTCAACTTAAAGACATCACATCTAACTACGACTTTTCGGCTCGTTGAGCCATTTTCAAGTCTAAATTCCCATCATTTGCCTGTCCTTTTCACTTATGCGAATCGCATGCGTCCACTCATAATATTTTTATTTATTTTTTATCAGTCACTGAATAGAAATGAGACTGATAATTTTTTTAATTTTTGTCATGTCCACCTTATCATGTGTCACCGACATGTCATCAGTCGTTATGACTGAACGACATTTTCCTTCTGTTATCACACAGGTACATGATGGGTATTTAGACTTGAAAATGGCTCAACGAGCCGAAACTTCGTAGTTAGATTTGATGTTTTTAAGTTGACAAAATTTTAAAAATTGGTGTAAAATTGGCTGATATAAATAAACTTGAAAAAAATGGGTATTCATCAGTATTTACTATATAGTTAAATTAACAAAGATTAGCGATCTCAAGATTTAATGCGCCCAATTTTCAATAATTTTAGTAAATATAATAATTGTATATTGAGATAAAATGCAACCATTCAAGAAGTTTCAAACGAGTTAAATTGAAGCCTGGTTCAAGGGATCAAAGATATAAAAAGTGTGTAGGACCAAACGAAAAAAAAAAAAAAAAAAATATATATATATATATATATATATATATATATATATATATATATATATATATATATATATATATATATATATAGTTATGGCAAAATAGGCATAAAAATAGAAAAGAGACATAAGATAATTACGTTTTAAATGGAAAAATCCAAATAACGAAGGTGTGAGTCTCCAAACATACAGATCACCAGTTAACTTTAAATGGTTTCGCAAATTCAGGCATCACCAGGACAGAAAAACCAGGATCAGTTATATGCAGGAAGAAAAATAAAAAAGGAAAATTGTATTTTTGCCAATCAGCTGTTCAATAGAACCTTCTCTTTCCTTCAGTATGTATTTGGTTGGCTTTCTGAGATGTCTATTTGAATCATTTTTTTTTTCTTTTTATTTATTTTCCTTTTTTTGGTTGTTCTTTCTGCATATAAGTGATCTTCATTTTTCTACCTTGATGATACCTGAATTGGCGAAATCTTGGCTAGTTAACTAATTCATCTCTATGTTTGGTGATTCCTGGCTTTGTTGTTAGCATCTTTCCATTTATGATTTATATATATATATATATATATATATATATATATATATAATATATATATATATATATATATATATATATATATATATATATATATATATATTAATGTATGTATATAAATAAATGTATATATATGTTCTTACATACCCTTAGAGCCATCTGGAGTTGGCCCTTGCCTACAAAAGAGCTTGTCTTGGTCCTCGTGGGGATATGTGAGAGCTCCATGGCAACGCCCCTGATGCTGTTGCTGTTATCCCACAACTTTAGCTGCCTGATGTCCTTGCCATTGATCTAACAAATAAATAAAGCCTTTTTTATTAATAACAAATATAGAATGATACTTTACATAGTTTTTAAATAATTAACATAGAGTTTATGTATACTAACATATAAAACCCAAATATCAAATCACTAAAAAAAATAATGGTAATATCTGAATTAGGCAAACGTTTCACCCAGTTTTTATCAATCTTCTCTTGAATGCGCTTTCTTCATCCAGTTTATGCCTGCTTCTTTTTTTATAATATCTCTCCACCTTATCATCTTTCTTCCACTTCTATTTGCCTGCAGTGTCGACCATTTTATCACTTGCCTTGTCCATCTTTCATCAGCGATATGTCCAGCGTATTGCCATTTTAGTTTTAAAATCATCACTTTCATGTCCATGACTTCAGTTTTGTGCCTTATTTTCTCATTCTCATCCGTTATCTTATTACTCAATTTTATATTAAGTATTCTTTCCCATTTTTCTCTGAGTATCTTGAAATCTATTTCTGTATTTCTTTGTTATGGTCCATATTAGGACTCCATACTTGAAGCTTGGCATAATATATGCTTCAAGAACTTTAGGCTTCTGATGTATAGTATTTCTTCTATATACGTCTACATATTTCTTTATCGGTCCTTTTTTTTAGGAGATCAGCTGGCCAAAGTATCTTTCATTAAATAAATAACTATAATAATAGTAAGTAATCCAACTCTACTTTAAGCACACCAGTGGTGCTATTTTTGTTTTCCTTTTCGCCACTGTAATACGGCGTCACGTTAAGATACAATTTAGAATAATAGTTCCTAACAAATAAAACAAAATGCTGGAAATTTCCCTCGCTTACAGTATTCTGGTTCGATTTTTATTTTTTGAGATATTTTAGTCCATATCTTCGAGAAAACTCGTTATCATTTCTTTGTCGACACTATTTCTTCCCTCGCCTACTATCTAGCACAGTGTTGGATTAAGATAAAATTTTGAATAATAACTCATTACAACGAAGATAAAATTCTGAACATTTCCCTTGACTTATATTTATACATGTCCAATTTTTAATTTCTGAGATATTTTAATCCATGTCATTAAAAAACTCGTTATCAGTTGGTTTTCGGTACAATTTTTCTCTTTTTGCCTATCGTACAGGGCATCGCGTTAAAACACTGTTTGGAAAAATAGCTCATTACAAGGAGAATGAAATACTGAACGTTTATCTCACTCGCCTGAATTCTGGTCCACATTTTAGTTTCTGAGATATTTAAATCCATATCTTCAGTAAAACTCGTCATCAGTTGTTTTTCAGCACTATTTTTTTTCCATTTTCGCCTTTATTACACGTTGTCGCGCTAGGATAAAATTTTGACCAATGTCCCATCGCAAGGAGAATGAAATACTGAACATTTCTCTTGCTTACAGAATTCAGATCCGAATTTTTGTTTCCGAGATATTTAAATCCATATCTTCAATAAAACTCGTTTTTTGAACTACTCTCTCGCACGGCGTCGAGTTAAGATGGAATTTTGAATAAGATTTCACTAAAAAGGGGATGAAATGCTGAACATTTCTCTTGCTCACGGTATGTAGGTCCGATTTCTAGTTTCTAAGATAGTCTAATCCATATGTTTAAATAAACTCGTTCTCTTTTTTATCTTTTTTGCTCCTCTAACATAACGCCATGTTAAGATACAACTTTGAGTAATAGTTCATTACAAAGAAGATGAAATGCTGACCATTTCCTTTCTTCAATAAAATTCGTTATCATTTGGTTTTCGACACTATTTTTTTCCTTTTCGCCTTCCTTCGGCATGGCGTCGCTTTAAGATACAATTTTGAATTATAGCCTATTACAGAGAGGATGAAATATTCAACAATTCCCTTGCTTACAGTACGCAAGTCCGATTATTATTTTCTGAGATATTTTAATCCATATCTTCAATAAAACTCGTTATCGTTTCGTTTTCGACACTATTTGTTCCCTCGCCTACTATCTAACACGGTGGTGGATTAAGATACATTTTTCAATAATAGCTCATAGAAGATAATATTCTGAACATTTCCCTCGCTTACATTATACAGGTCCGATTTTGAGTATCTGAAATATTTTAATCCATATGATCAACTAAACTCGTTATAATTTGGTTTTCGTCACTATTTTTTGCCTCTTCTACGCTCTCGCACGGGGTCGAGTTATGATGATAATTTTGAATAATAGTTCACTACAAAGAGAATGAAATGTTGAACATTTCCCTCGCTCATAATATGCATGTTTCGTTTCCAGTTTCTTAGTTACTCTAATCTATATGTTCAACCAAACTAATTCTCTTTTTCCCTTTATCGCTTCTCTAAAGGTACTATTTCGCTGGCGCGGTCAAGGACAGCGACCGCTATTCCACGCTGCCAACCGCTGTTGGAGTAGCTTTTTCGCTGAAACTGCTCACTAGGGTTGTTATAACCTGCCTATAACCTTCAAACATCTTCGAAGATAAAAAGATGGACATAACATAATAATAAAAATGAACATCCTATAATAATAAACATCTCTGAATAGCGCTTTTTTATTTGAGTTGGAAAAAGAAGAGAAAATGTTGTTCATAAAGAGAAGGAATATCAGTATTTCGATGTGATGCTCGTCATCAAAGTCCCTCTGATATTAGATATTATTAGTTTGAAAAGTAATAGTAATTAATATACAATTGATTAGAAATAAATATCATATATTTGTAATTAAAATTCCAGCAGGCGATGTTTTATAGTACTATCAATAGTAATCAGTAAATCACCACTTTAATTAAAAAATACAAATCGATTTTTCAATGGGTGGATTTTAGTATTTACCTGACGATAAAATTTGTTGGATTCTTTAATTCATTTAATATCGTTTGGATTTAGGTATATTTGTATTTCGCTGTAAAATATTGCTGGTGGAATAAGTAAATAAATAATCTTGTTACTTCAACCTTAAAAAATAATTTACTATTGCATTGTTTCAGTTTTAAACGATATTTGTTATAATTTTGCCAGACTTGAAAGAAACATAGGAAATAAACCGTATCGACGTGACCGTTATCATCAAAACAATACTCTGATATGATAACATAACCTACAACCGCCGAACCGCCAACAGCTCCACTGCTTCAAGAGGAGTCAGATAGGAACAGCTTAGATATGACGTCATACCTAGACTGCCGAGCAGCACCAGCGAAATAGGTTCCTTTCTATTCCACTAAAGCAGTGGTCAACCGCGAGCAGTCGCGGCCGTGGACCGCGCCAGCGAAATAGTACCTTAACACAGCGTCATGTTAAGATACAATTTTGAGTAAAAAATAAAATAAAATGTTGAACATTTCCGTAACAGTATGGAGGTCCGGTTTCTAGTTTCTGAGATATTTCAATTCATATGTTCAACTCGTTCTCTTTTTCATTTTTGGCCTCTCTAATACGACGTCATGTCAAGATAAAATTTTTAGTGATAACTCATTGCAAAGAAGATAAAATTCTATAAATTTCCCTTCCTTATAATATTTGGGTCCGATTTTAAGATTCTGAGATATTTTGTTAATCTAAATATAAAAAACTTCAAAAATTAATTTGCGTACTTAATGCAGAAAAGAAAACTGTTGCGAACCTTACCTTAAGACTGGCGGCGGTGATCCTGCCGTGTAGGTTGTTGCAACCAAGGAGGGTGACATTCGCCTTCCTGACGGACCGCTCCATTTCTTCCTCCGTCCTGGGTATCACCATCGCCGGTTCCTCCTTGGGCTTCTCCACCAGGGAAGCCGTCGCCATGTTCTTCGTCCATATTGGAGATGTTCTCCTGCCGTCATCAACGAACCTCATTATTTTTGTAATGGAGCAAATTTTAATGACTTCTCATTATATTAACAAAACTAACGACCTTAAAACTACCATCCATAAACTTAGTGCTTAATAAATACAAGAAAAATAATACCCCAGAATATAATTATTCTTTAATATATCAGATAACTAGAAAAAACGATAACTAAAAAAAAACGAAATTGAAGAAGAGATTAAGGTTAGACTGAAGGCGAGAAATGCTTGTTATTTTTCTGTGACAAAACTACTTAGTTTGCGCCTCTTGTCCCGAAACTTAAAAATTAGAATCTATAAAACAATTATCTTGCCTACAGTTCTTTATGGATGCGAAACTTGGCCGCTTACATTAAGGGATGGGCAGCGTCTTAAGGTTTTTGAAAATAAAGTATTGCGTAGAATATTCGGACCGAAGAAGGATGAGTTAACCGGAGAGTTCAGACGGTTACACAACGCTGAATTGCGTGAACTGTATCCGAGTAATATAATTGAGATAATTTCATCGCGGCGAATCAAATGGGCTTGTAAAGTTGTTGGGCTTAGTAACGAGAGAATTCCTAAAAGGTTAATATTTGCTGTGCCGAATGGTAAGCGTCCGAGGGGTAGACCGAAGCGAAGGTGGGAAGATTGCATTAAAGCAGATCTGAAGGGACTGGGTTTGGACGGCGAACGGTGGAGGGAGGTGTGTAACAAGCGATTGGTGGTGTCGGCATCGAACCTTCGGGTTCGCTAAGCCTTATTATTATTATTAATATATCAGAAGTATAAATATATAGTGTTACTAAGTACATTTATTCAAATAGAGTATCACTTTACAAATGTTACTTACTTCACATTTGGAAGAGGATCAAGATACCATGATCATACTTTAAATGGGATTCTGATTAATAATAGTCCGTGATACAGACCTTTTTTAATCAAACTATTAACATCCTCCTAAGTTTCGTGAATAGCTTCGTAAATCTCGTCGTAACCTTAAACTTTTTTTACGAAGTTTTCAATTTGGAAAAAAGTAAATTTTAAGCACCTCAAGAGTTTTTATTACTTCCTTTAATTAATTAATCGCATTCATTAATTTAATGATAAAACGTCTCATTTCTGAGAGTTTTCGTAAATTTAAAATACGTGCGATAAGATGAAGTTTAGACACCAATAAAAATAATGGGGATGCGAAACAACGATATTACAGGTATTTAGTGTTGCCCAAAATCGGTCTTGCTCTTGCACTTTGCAAGACCAAGACCATGACCGTCTAACTATTGCAAGACCAAGACCAAGGACTGGTAAAAAAAAAATCCATTTTTTAAAATAAAAATCAAGGCAAAATATTTACTAATACTTGACAATCTTAGTTAGTTTCTCCTATCTAAAAAATAACATTAATATCTCTATAATCAGCTAATAAGTAACTGCATGAGTGTTGCGAGACTCTTGCGCAAGACCAAGACTGAGTTTGCAAGACCAGGAATCGTCTCGGTCTCGCATTTGGGCAACACTACAGGTATTCATGCACTTGTAAATGCTTAGAGTGCTACCATGCTAAGCAGTTAGTACATGTTTTGAATGAATGGTAAATAACCTGCCTGTGATAAAGTATTACTAGTTATAGTGAGATTGTGCCTGCACTATAAACAAAGTTTGTGAGCTATTAATTGATCTACTAACATTTTGATTTATTTTTAAAATGCCGAAGCTAAGGGAAAAGACTAAGTTACTGTATTATTTGGTTAAAAATGGTTTATTAGAAAGCATTAATGCTGATTCAGATGGTCCAGGAGTTAATGAACTTGATGAATACATAGATAAAATCCTAGTTCTATTAACATTCCATTTTTGTTGATATTGTTTATGAACAAAGAAACAAACACCTCAAAACCTTACATTAACCTTTCAGTGCGGTTATAAAGTTTTAGGCAGATATTAATAATTTGATAAAAAGAGGTCTGTACTACAGATAACGTATTCACAGTATAACCTCCCAATATTTAGATAGCGATTTAGGACTTGTCAAATAACCCTTTTTAGTTAAAATCAGGGCTGTAATTACCATTAATTGCATCACTGCTTTCGATTTCCGTTCTCTTCATTTGTTCGGCTATTATCGGGTTTCCATTCATGTTGTGATCGTGAGGTCTTGCACAAACCATGCAAGTGCAGTGATATGTATACATCATTACAGTACTTTTTTATATGTCATATTGTTTGACTTTATCTATACTAGATTTATATAAGCAACATTTGTTAATTATTTAGATGAGGACTGCACAGGTTACGGGTGGTTCACTATCACTTCGGTCACACTTGTTCATGAAACCCGTCATGATTCTTTGCGTTGTCTTTCGGATAAACCCGGATACATTCGGCACAACGCAATGTCCTAACTTAATAAAGGCTGTAGAAAACATAGGACTGAAAATAAATTATAAAAAATGCAAGTATATATCAGTGAACGTTGAGGGAGATATAAAAATAGGCGAACACCATATAGAGAAAGTAGATACATTTCTATATCTTGGGCACCTTATCTCAATTAAAGGACAAACTGAAGAAATAATCAGGCGATGAACCCAGGAATGGCGCGCACTCTTCAAATTTAAGGGTATATATAGATCCTCGGTGAGCTCAGAGGTCAAGAGAAAACTTTGGATGAGCACAGTACTTCCTGTCATGACATATGGTTGTTAAATATGGGCAATTGACCAGAAGACTTGCCACAAATTGAGGATAACCGTCAGAGGAATGGAGCGATATCTTCTCGGAATAACAAGAAGGGATAGAAAAGCAAATAAATGGATCAGAGCTAAGACTGACCTTCCAGATATTGTGGGAAAAGTGGACATCAGGAAGTGGACCTGGACCGGACATGTAATCAGGAGGAATGAATTGACATGGACAAGACAGTTTATGGATTGGTATCCAATAGAGCACGCCAGGAAGAGAGGACGCCCGCCGACAGACTGGGACAAGGAGATAAAGAAGACCTGCGGGGGAGCAGCCTGGAAGAGAATAGCACTGGAGAAGAAAGAATGGAAAAGGATGGGACAGGTTCATTACCTAGTGTGGTTACAAGAAAGTTAAGTAAAAAAAAAAAAAAAAAATCGAACTCAAAACCTAACTAAGTTGATTTTGTACATATAAGAGATTTTATATATATCTATTTTTTATCCATTGTTTTTTTCATTGTATGTACAAATAAAGATTATTTTTATTATTATTACATTCCGCACTCCATGAACAAGTGTGACCAAAGTGATTGTGAACCACACATAACCAATATCAGTACCAAAACTTTATAGATCAGTTCATTGTGATTTTGATATTGGTCGATTCTAAACAATTTGTCAAAACTATAATACTTTTTTTCCTTAAAAAAAAAATGGAATCACTAGAGCAGCTGCATTTTTTAAATTACATCGAACAATTTTATTGAACAATTGATTGAGAAGTCATGTTATCAATAATTCTCTTGGGAGAAAAAAAATATTTCTGATTTCTGGTCTTAAGATGTCGAAAAATGGTCCACATGAGTTCAGTAAATTGAGATCATCTTCCAAGCCTTCTAATAACCATGAGTACTAAAAACTTTAGAGATCTAGAAGGGAACTGTCAATTTACTAACTTGTTCGCGTTGTTTAGAAGTCTTGAATGATGATCTCAATTTACAGAACTCGTGACCACCATTTTTCCACTACGCATGGCAAGGGAAAATAGATTTATTCATCGAATGTGTGAGATTCAGATAAGAAATTAGGCCAAGTGTTCAAATAATTAATGACTAATTATTGCTGTAATACTAACCATACTTTCATTTCCTGTGGAGAGGAGTTCTACCTCGATTTTCGATTTAAATGTTCGTCGTGTTCTGTTTTATTTTCCTGGATTTAGATAACGTTATTACCTTAATACGAAACAAATAACACTAGGTCAGATGGTCTCTTCCACTCATAATCTCACTTGGAACAGAAATGCCAAGAAATCTATTAAGTGCTTAGAATAACATCTGTTATTTGGCATAACCTAGCGTTATGTTTTAAGTGTGTGAATGTTCGTAGAATTTTCGAATGTGTCCGTACTTCGATTTGTTGTTGCTTTTTTGTTTTGTTTTCTTTTTTCTTATCAAGATACTTTACACTTTTTAATATGTTTTTACAGGAATAAATTATTTATAATGGATATATTTTCTTTTAATGAATGCTTGATGTTTTCTTATCAGTTTTCTTTTCTAACTATTGTATCTAATTACATCTTACAAATCGATTTAACGAATTATATACATAAATGAACTGTACAACCGAGTATTTTCATAAAATAAAACATATGATTAAATTGATTAATTAGTTTAAAATCAAGCAATCAGCGTCAATCGAAAAAAAATCGAGAGGGATTTTATCGTTTGGGGAATGGAAGTTTCGAAGCCAATCATTAAAAGCATGTAAACAATAAAAATGAGATAACTAGATTTCTTCGTAAGTTCTAAGAGAGATGCTTTTTATCTGAGGTATATAAATAAAATTTAATAACAGCATTTAATCTCCCAACAATTTTTCTTTATTTTTATGACATTTCGGGATCACTTTCTTATCCCATCTACAGACAGTATCTCATCCTTCTATCATCTTATTTGTGGACTCCTAGAGTCTGACTAGGCTCTCCTAGGGGAATCCACAATCTAATTAAGGGATGAATTATGAAAATATAAAAAAAAATTAAGACAAATCTTTTTAAAAAAATAAGATCATAGAAGGATGAGATACTGTCTGAAGATGAGATAAGAAAGTGACCCCGAAACGTCATAAAAATGAAGAATAATTGTTGTTATTAAATTTTATTTCTATAACTCGGATAGCTAGATGTTTTAAAAGTCAACTGCAGTATTTTTATATTTTTAAACTATTGTTTCCACTCGTGCAGACCTCATTATCGAGTTAAGGAGCGTCCTGAGGGTGACGGATATGGGGATAGTCGGTGAAAATTCCTTTGGAAGTTCCTCTCGGCTAAGTCCGATGGACTCGCTGTCCACCAATGAGAGCGGCCACCAGACTTGCTATTGGGTGTGACGTAGGATTGAACGACTTACTCACATAACTTATGTTCACCATACACCACGAATAGTCACGGATTTCCTTAAGATAGAACGCAAGATAAATCACCAGCCGAACGGTCTCTCCAAGTTCAATGAAAGTTACAACGCCTTGTGCCACATATGTTACCTTACCTATCCAAAATCCTTAAAATGTCCTCGGGCAGTGGTATTATTATTTGTATATCTTTTGTATATTTTGACTTACTTATATATGTAATTTGTAATTAAATAAACATACTGGATGGTGGAGAAAAAGAAGATAAAACGCTCATTATCTCGAGGTAAACTAGTCCGGATCTTTGGGTAGGGACTGCTTCAAGAGATACAGATCGCAAGTTGAAAATTAATGACCGGTGGAGCAGGGGTATTTGGATGTCGGTATCGTACCCTCGGATTCGCTAGGCCTTTTATTAATATTATATTGTTTCCACTATAAGTAAAAACCAAAAACATTAACATAAATAATTAAAATCTTAGTAAATTACAGAAATTCAATGTTAGGTTATAATTGAAAATAATCAACCAGGAACATGTTTTGCTATACTATCATACATTTTTATTTGATTAGAGTAGAAGTCACGAGAAGGATCTCTTCGAAGTTATAATAGAAAATATAGGAGATTAATGGCCTCCATTATGAATAAAATAGATTTTTTTTTTTTTTGCTGTACAAGTAAATATGTTCAATATTGTCAGTTTTATTTATTATTGGTGAACAAACATGTACCTATTTATTTCTTTATTTGAAAATGAAGTTATATCTACGTAACCATAGTTATTGACAAGTACATATGTAAATAGAGGCAAATAAATCATACGTTTTAATTGAAAAATATATGCGGTAGCGAAGTATAGGTATTAGTAGTACAGGCTTTTGAAGTGAAATTTTCTTTAGGCGCGTTTTGATTTTTTTTGTGGTGAGTGAATAAGATTGAGCCTTCAGATCTTCCATGTGTAACGCTCGGGTAAAGTCGGCTGGAGTCTAATTTAAGTGTTTTTGTATATGGATTAAAAATCGTACCTGCATATTGTAAACAAGAAATGTTCAGAATTTTATCTTCTTTGTAATGAGCAGTTATTCAAAATTGTGTCTTAACGCGAAGCCGTATTTTAACAGAAGAGGAGAAAAGGAAAAAAATAGTGTCGAAAACCAAATGATAACTAGTTTTATTGAATATATGGATTAAAATATCTCAGAAACTTAAAATCGAACCAGCATACTGTAAGCGAGGGCATTTTTCAGTATTTCATCCTCTCTGTAATGAGCTATTATTAAAAGGTGCATCTTAACGCAACGCATTGCTAGAGAGGCAACAAGGGAAAAATAGTGTCGAGCAAAGTTTACTAGAGTAATTTATACACATTATTGTATATATTATAAATTTGTATATATTGTAACTTTGTGAATATAGAACAAAAAATATTTTTTACACAACTATAATTGTATATATTATTAATGTTATTATCTTGTGAATATAGAATACAAACAAATTTATATTTCATCAACTTCGGCTTGTTGATGTTTTCACTTCTATCGTGTATTCGTTTTTTAAGGTAATTACAAATTTATTGTAACAACAAAATTCAAACATGTAATGTAATATGCACTATATTTTGACTCAAAAAAATTGTTTAGCCTTGTATCCACAACATTATTAGGACTGTAGTTCTGAAGATGGGAGTAAATATTCCGAAACGTTAACTTGTTAATATGTAACGTTGATAATATAAGAAATATATTCAATTGTTACCAATGAAATTGCCAAATAACTAAGAATACTATACAACTTCCCTGAAATAAGAAAAAAGAACAAAAAATAGTTTTTACACAACTATAATTGTATATATCATTAATGTTATTACCTTCTGAATATAGAATAAAAACAAATTTAAATTTCATCAACCTCAGTTTGTTGATTTTTTCACTTCTATCGTGTAGTCTAAAGCACACATCGTAGTTTGTTTTTTGTTTTTTTTTAGGGCTCTCAAAAATGATCCTTGGACCAGAAATGGTCAATTTAATAAAAAGTAAAGTTGTCTTAACATCGAACTTTAAACATCTTCATCTAACTGTCAGGAAGAAAAAAGAAGATGGGCCAACTTCTAGAGAAGTAAAGACATTTTAAAATCGAAGATAATTTAAAATTAAGTTGGATACGAAGGTATCGATACAAGTCGAGGAAGAGATAACTGTGGTACAGAACTATTCCAATCAAAGTTAGGTAGTGTTCTGTGTCTGACGGGATCCGTCCTGATAGCCGATGATACCTTTTTATATATCGAACTTGGATGTTGGTTGGAACTTTTATAATAGACTCCAGATCGCAATTTATTGAAATGCCAAGGGTTCGACCTGGCAGAAATCATATCTACTTCAACCGAAATAACTTCTAAAATGTGTTCGGGTATAAGTTCATATACTTTGATGCCTCAGGTTCTTTAGAAAATGGAAAAAGTTCATAAATTAAAGAGTTGAAAGGTTGGTATCAACTCACTTGTCTCCATGTTAGAGCCCTGGTGATAATGCATAACGTTGATCGAAACGTTGGTACCAAATGAACAGTTATAAGTAATTTGATGTTTATCCAGACTCCTAAGCCATTTTATTCCTTTGGCGTACGATCGTCCATCGAATATGATTAAAAAATAAATAGAATTACCCCCTTGTATTTTTAAAAAATAAATATTCTTCTATTTATATTTGGTGCCATATTATTATTTAAATGATTTTTGGCGAAATGTGACCAATATTATTTTTCTTTAATATTAATATGAAGGAGGGAAATCCATCCAGAGGTTGAGAGTGATCTAGGTCCTTACATCACCTTTGACGAAGAAATTATTGTTACACAAACACAAAACAAAGACGAGTCTTGGTCTCCTATCTATTCTAACCAAAGTTACAATAACCTGTATCTCACTTAATAACGGTCTGAAATTGATGGTTTTGCTTTTGTTTTGTAAGGAATCTAGTGATCTTTCAAATAATCATGGATGAAATCACAAGAATGGACCCTTGGCTACAATTCCATGGAAAAGTATCTTATTTTTCTGTTGCTATGACAATTCGTATTTCTGTTTTTTTGTTTCTCTTAAAACAATATTTTAACCTACTTTTCTCCATCGGTTGGTACAGATTGTTTCAAATTTACAAATTTCTAATCGAATTCGATGATTTTTTTTTTTAAAGAATTTTGTAATTTAGTAAGAATTTTTTTTGGCACAATTAATTAAAAAATTATAATTATTGAGTTATTCGCGAATAAAGTTTCTTTCCCTTCGTAGATTTTTTCCTTAATTTCTGAGGAATGTGAATATTTTTCCCTTAAATAGAGGGAAATCTTCAAAATGAAATGAATCTTCAAACGTCACTGGTATCTGAAATATTTTAATCCATATCTATGTTCAACTAACCTTATCATTTGGTTTTCAACACTATTTTTTCTTTCGCCACCCCAACACGGCGTCGCGTGAAGATTCAATTTTGAATTATATCCTATTACAGAGAGGGTGAAATGCTCAACAATTTTCTCGCGTTGATGTTGTTAATGCTGAATGAAATCCGACAGATCGATCTAATTCACTCTCCACAAAAAAGTGCAAAACGCGCCTGAGAAAGTTTTCACTTAAAAAACACCTTTGATAAATATATAAAGTGCATTATTGCAATTCGTTTTACATTATAAAGGAAGGAGATTGTCCGGGTGGCGGCCATAAAAAGGCCAAATAGTAGCTAAACCATTTTATTACAAGCCAACGTTTCGACCCGACTATGCAGGTCTTCTTCAGGACTAGAACTTTTGTATCTTTAGCCCTAAAGAAGACGGGCAAAATCGGGTCGAAACGTTGGATTTAATAGTATTTAATTTGGATAAAATAGTTTTGCCACTATTTGGCCTTTCTTATGACCGTCACCCCGGACCATCTCCTTCCTTTGTAAAGATATTTCATACGTAGGATTCTTGAAGATGCGTTTGTGGTAAAAAACTCAGGTAAATCGTATTGAATGTACGATCATTGACGTCTTTTTAGACTCTGACTATTTATTGCCTCTTAATTCGACCGATATATATCCTTTGAAGAACAGGAAAAAAAAAAAGGATAAATATAGTTTTCCTTTACTTTAATTCAGTCACATTTATTCTCTCAGCCTTCCAGATCTAAGGTTATTGGTTCCTTTGGGAAAAGCCCGATATCTATTTCGAGATGTCCAGAGGGATCTATTTCCAGTA